AACCATAGGATTTGATAGTTCTGCTAAGCCAACACCCCCACAGTCTTTTCTAGATGTTCCACCCTTGAAGTCCCTTTTTCTGGTGGGGCTGGGTTTTGCTGGTCAATTGGGTGTGACCTCGATTGTTCATTAGCACGTGTTTGGTCTTTGGCTGGATCCTATGACCTTGTGATGGCCATTGGTTATGGATAACATATGGAAAACTTAATGCTCTCATAGATGATGCCAACTGACAATACTAGAAAATGCTCAACGAGCTTCGGGCATGTGGTTGACCAGAATCATACTTTGACCGACCAAGAGAAGCACCTGTAAAGGCAAATTGAAGACCAGAGGGGCTTCAGGGGGTCCTCAAGCTTCATATTAAAAGAACTCATTCCATAGGTGGCCAGATCATCCTAATTTCGGTTCTTTTCTCATTCAATCCTTCTATGCTTAAGTTAGAAAGAAATTCTTGGGAATAGAATATTCAATGGGGATTAGATTTGTGTAACTGGATCATCTCCAGCCTTCCATTTTTGTAGGTTGTTTGATTAGGCTATTAGAGGATTCTTATCTTTGATTTGAATTAAGGGAGTACCAGTGGCGTGGTGGAGGTGGATTTTTTGCTGGAGTAGGAGTCTCAACTGAGCTAGGAGTGGATGATCTGACAATCTAGAACTCCTCCACGTTGCCGAGCTCGTGTCCAAATACCTGTTATCACTTATAATTCTTACTAGCGCCCTTTTGCTATAAGCTACACTATTGTCTTTACCTCCCCTGAAGACTCCTTCGTTGTTTTATTAGTGTCTAATACCAACTGCATCGATCATTCCTACTCTCAAAATGCTTGTCCACTAGTCCACCAATGCATGTCGCTTCAACTCACCACAACTCCTTAAAATCCACCCCAAATACTCAAGGCAATCACAATTGAGTTTTAGAAGTTTATTTTCTTGAAACTTTGTTGTGGCCAAGTGTTTTTCACAAAAACTAACCATATGTTTTGGATTGAAAATAATTTTTGCCTAAGGTCAATGAAAAATCACAAAGGACACTTCTTTTTTTTTTTTTTTGATAGAAAAAGATAGTACGATTTTATTGATTGAAAGTTGGTACAACAATTTGGAAGGAATGTGACAAAAATAATGGGCATTCCTATCTCCGTAAATAGGAGTCAATACATGTTAATGCATATTTTATATAATTCGTGCGCAACTTCATTCCCACTTCGACGGATCCAATAAATGGAAAATTCATTAAATCTGCCATTGCAATCCTTGATTTGGTTCATGAACGGGCCAACTTCAGAGAGGTCTTCTACATCTTTCCTTAAAGCATCGATAATCCATTTCGAATCTTCTTCTAAGATCAGCTTTGCATAAACCCTTTCACCTGCTAACCTGACTGCCAATGAAACAACCATTGCCTCAATATGTTCGATTTTCAATACCCCATAATTCTTCAACTTAAACCCAGCACAAACTTCCCATTGCAATCCCTAAAAACTATGTCAATACCTGAACAACCCATTTCATTGGATATAGCCTCCATCAAAAATAGCTTTAATGAAACCCGTAGGAGGGGCCACCCATTTAACCACTCCAGATGATGATGCCTCGTGTTGCATCTAAGGATTGTTTTCCTTATTCGCCCAAAATTGATTCAAATATGACTGAGCAAACTCAAACACTTGGGTAGGGGAACTAATGTCTTCACCCATCCGAATTCTATTCTTGTTAATACTATACTGCCCATAATATCACCAAAGCCAGACCCAATTTACCAGTGCAATTATCAATTGAAAATTTCAATATCCACTCCATAAACGAAGGATTTTGTAGTTGGGGAAGTTGTACTCCTAAACTTAACCACACCGCTTCAACAAAAGGGCAATGAAAAAATATATGCATAGCTGTTTCGTTTGGATCATCACACAATAAACAATCTGTTTCCACAAGGATTCTCTTTCTTCTTAAATTAAATTGAGTGGGTAGTATATCCTTAAATACCCTCCATACAAAATGTTTAATTTTGTTTGGGATTCTTAGGGACTAAATAAAATCCCCAGGCCATTTACCACCACTACTACTACTAGGGTCCTCACCACCAGTTTGCCTGCCCTTTAAGCCTTGATACATAATCAAATGAATGCACTCTCAACTGTAAAATTACCAGATTGAGTATAGTGCCATATCAGACGATTAGGAGGGGAATGATCACTTATAGGCATCGACTCAATCAGATCTACTTCAAATGGCAGAAACATCTGGTGTAGTAGATCACCCTTCCATCTTCCTTAGGCATGATCAATGAAGAAACTGACTTCAGTATAGTCAACTAGATCTGATAATGGGCTAAAAACTCTGAAAGTGAATGGTCTTGGAATCCATTTATCTGCTTTAACTCGAACACTTTGTTTGTCTCCTATTCTCCATCGTACACCTGCTGCTATAACTCTTATGGAGTCCAGAATGCTATACCAAGTAAATGACGGGTTGGTCCCTATCTGGGCTTCCAACAGGGAGATAAAAGGAAACTATTTAGCCTTTAAAAGCCTGAATGAAAAAGACTCAGGATTTTAAAGTAATTGCCAAAATTGTTTTGCTAGGAAAACCAAATTGAAACCACTCAAATCTCGAAACCTTAACCCTTCCTTAGATTTAGCAAGACATAGCTTGTCCCCAAGCAATCCAGTGAATCTTCTTATCATTTGTACCATGACCCCACCAAAATTTAGCCAATAAACTATTTAGCTCACTACATAATGAAGTGCGAAGTTTAAAACATGACATTGCATAGGATGGTATAGCAACATGACATTGCATAGGATGGTATAGCCTGCGCCACAGCTTTGATAAGAATTTCTTTCCCAGCTTTTGACAGTAACTTCTTTTTCTACCCTTGAATTTTTTGCCAGACCCTCTATCTAATGGACTGAAATATCTCCCTCTCAGATCTGCCAACCACCAAAGGGAGCCCCAGATACTTCTCATGACTCCCGCTAAATTTCCCAAAATTTCTGATATTCGAATCCTTTCAGGTAGCCCTACATTTCTACTAAACACCATAGCAGAATTTGCCAAATTTACCCTTTGCCTCGAGCCTTATCGTATAAATTAAGGCAATCTCTAACATTCCTTCCATTAGATTCATTAGCCTATGCGAAGAGAATGCTATCATCTGCAAATAATAGATGGGAAAAAAGAGGACCCTCACGACCTACCGCTAAAACCTGGATACGATTTCCTTCTTCAATAGACTTCAACAAGCCAGAGAAGCCTTCCGAACATACAAGAAAAAGGTATGGCGATAATGGATTGCCTTGCCTTAAACCTCTTTGAGGGTGGAAATAACCCACCTGCTCACCATTAATAACCACCGAAAATGAGACTGTTTTCACACAAGTCATGACAAGCTTCACCCATTTAGTATCAAAACCCAACTTATGCATGATTTTATCCAAAAAATCATTCCAACCTATCATACGCTTTGTCATTTCTAATTTTATAGACATGAAGCCCTTACCCACTTTCCTTTTCCCCTTCAAATAGTGATTTAACTCAAAAGCTACTAGGACATTATTAGTGATGAGCCTTCCTGGCACAAATGCACTTTGATACTCCGAGATGATACTAGGCAGAATTTTCTTTAAGCGATTGGCATGGATGTTGGCTCTGACTTTGTAAATAACATCACAAAGAGTGACGGGGTGAAATTGAGTCATATTCTCTAGTGAAGTCATTTTTTGGAATTAGAACTATATTTGTATAATTCAGTTTAGTGCAAAATTACCAAAATGCAGAAAGTCCAAAACATTCTGAACAATGACATCTCCAGTCACATTCCAAAATGTTTGGTAGAATTCTGCAGCCATACCATCAGGACCAGATGTCTTTCCTGGATGAAATTGATTGATAACTTATGTTACTTCCATAATCATGAACTCCCTCAGCAGCATCTGATTCATCTGTGTACTGACCTTCTGTGGAAAAGAACAAAGAACTTCTTCCATATCTGAAAATGAGGGATGACTCGAAGCAAAAAGATTCTGGACGAAATCCTTTGTTATTCTCCCCATCTAACTTGGATCCATAGTTCAAATACCTTTATTATCTTTCAATCCCATCACTAGGTTCCTCTTTCATCTCTTAGTTGCTTGGGCATGAAAGAACTTTTTAGCACAATCACATTCCTGTAGCCATAAAGCTTTTGACATTTGCCTCCACATGACTTCCTCTGCCTCTAACAAAAGGTGTGTATGGTCATGAAGGGCCTTTAGCTCCCTCTTCCCATTTTCATTCAAATCCAAATCTTGAAGTTGTCCATTTCAGTGTGTATTCATTTGCAATTGGTGCCCAGCATTACATAATTTCTCTTTATTCCATTTTATCAATCCAACTCTACATGCCTATATCTTATCCATGAATAGTTGTGCTAACGAGAGGTTCATCGGTGGTGCCTTCCAACAAGACCGAATAATTTCAGTACACGTGCTATCTTTCACCCATATAGATTCAAACCTGAACCTCTTTTTCCTAGCCCCCTTCACCTCCTCATTATCCCCAAAAGCTATCTTAAACAGAATTTGGCAATGGTCTGAATTAGTGGTTGGTACATGAATTACCTTGGTTTTTGAGAATGTGACAACCGAGATATAGAGCCCCAAACTCTATCAAATCTTTATTTTACAAAATAGGGACCTAGACTACCATTCCACCAATTGTGTGCCTGACCCTTATAACCCAAGTCCACCAACTAACAGTAATCAATCGTTCTTTGATAGTCATGTCTTTGCCAAGCAGACCTAGCAGCTCCACCCCATTTCTCCTCATTAACAGTGATCTCATTGAAATATCCTCTGCATAGCCAAGGAATATCAGATCTCTCATATAATTTGGCCAATAATGATCAGGAGTTTTTTCCCATCCTTGAATTTGGGTACCCATAAAAGCTAACAAAACACCACTGAGCCGAAGGGCCCTCATTCATTATGGATTCGATGAAAATCTGAAAGCTTCTGATATTTACCTGACTATCTCTCTTCCATAGCAATGCTAATCCATCTGATTTTCCCCTTGAGTCGACAATAAGGCCTTGAGAAAAGTCTATCATCTGTTGAATTCTCTTGAAAGCTTGTGTCCCTAATCTTGTTTCCATTAAAAATATTAGGGTGGGACCTTCTCTCTTCACTAAATCATGAAGACTTTGGACTATATGACGGTTCTTAAGCCACCGACAATTCCAGATCACACCCATCATAACTGTCGGTGGGGCTAAACATCAGCCTTCGCCATTGATCTCTGATTTGTTGAGATACCATCCGAAATACAAGCCCTCTTACTTGCCACACTTTCTCCTTCTATCAATTGAACAATCCCTCTCCTTTTGTCCCCCACTTGCACATCCCTAATTTCCCAATTCTCTGGTCTTGAAGGAGACCAAGAAACCTTAGCCCATTTACCCTTTTCTTTCCTCGTCGGCCCTCTTGTCTCTCTTGTGGCCTGCCTTAGAAGGAACCAAATTTTGGGCCTCCTGTTCGCAAAATTCTAAGGTCATTTCCACACATTAGCCCAATGCCCAATTTGGATAATTAGAGGCCTCAGAAGTTAAGCCCACTTCCACCAAATAAGACTCGTTTGGAATATCCACTAACATACTCTAGCCCACAAATACCTCTCCCACCTCCCAGCCATTTTGTTTCAAAACCACATCTATCTTCCTCTCAGTGCTAGTTGTTGCTCCATTATCGCCTTGTGTTGTGGTAATTGAAACTGAAATGTGCCTTTGATTGCTCAACATGCCATCAACATTTTTTATACTCTCTTTTCCAACTGTCGTGCCACCCCCATTAGACTCCTCCATTACATCACTACTCCTTGTTTCATGCCTTAATTTATGCCCTCGATTACTATCCTCTTAACCATCGTCCTCTAGTATGCCACCACTAGAAAACCTCCCATAAAGACTTGTGGCTAAGGATTAGAATTGATTTACAAGCCATCACCCCCAATGAATGACACTTCTTTGATGCCTAGTAATTGAATCAACAACTCTAAGAATGTATGTGTAGGTTTTTTCCTCTCTTGGGTGCATGCCTCTAACGAAATCTAGTTATATACAAATACCAAAGAGACCATAAAACTAGTTTTGTTAGAATTTACTAGAGAAAGGAAAGAAAGGATTCTAAATCACCGACAATTGCTTGAGTGCCCCAAGCTCGTCCAAGTGCCAAACGAGGGAGTAACGAGCACGAACTGCTAAAAAAAAATAGAACTAGTTCGTAAACACCTCGCTTAGGACCAAAAAGAGCGGCAATTATTGATTGTTTTTTAAATCAGTCTAAATAATCTCATTTAATCCATTAAAGACTTTGTAACACCCAAAAATCCATTTTGGACAACATTACTATCTAAAACAATTCACATCATGAGAGCAATTAATAAAATTCATAAATAAAAAAAATTACATTCATCATACTTAATATCTATAGCATCATCTAAAAGAATATGTCAAATCACGGTTATTACATCCAAAAGAATATACCAAACGATGGCAATTATACCTAAAAATCAAATATTATCTTGTAGCGGAATAAACAAAAAATCATCTATACATTGTCTTAAAATGTATCTCCTAGTCTAGGACATAAAGAGAAAAACTCTAGACATCCCCCTTGGGATCCATGCTTCCATCCAATTGAGTTTTCCAAGCTACCTGCTCATCAATTCTAAGCCCTTCCTCTAGACAAAAATCTGAAAAATATTGTTGTAGGGGGATAAACACTAAGCTCTGTAGAAAAATTCTCTCAAGCTCGAACAAGGTTTAGAAACATACAAAACAAGGCAGTTTCATTTCACAAAAATAATATATAACTTTTGAAATAAAACAGTGACAGTTCATCATATCTCAAGTTTACACAGTAGCCATAATTTAAATGAAGAAGTAAAACCAATTTTCAAACAATAAACCATTACCAGCAATTTCTTGTATCATTCCCCACAATGTACCATTACCCACATTATGTATCTGTATCCCCAATTGTATCTTCAAGTAGGAAGTAAGATTTCGCATGACTACACACATTAAGAATATTCTGGCACACACATACACCCAAACCTTGCAAAGATACACAACTTTAGGAAGGGCATATTCCGATGCATCGGCAATAACGAATCCAATCTATGAAAAATATACTAACCCTCAGCCTTGATACCACGTGAGCGAATAATGATTTGGTCCTCACGAGGCATTAACCCTACTACGAGTGGTAGGAAACCTTCAAACCCATATGAAGTAAGAAATACATCTATCTACTCTACGATACCCGGGCTACCGTCACCCTTGTTCATCCAAATAACCACACAAGAGATACAATACGAAACCAATTTCTCAAATCACAAGTAAATTAAGAACCCCTAATTCCCATGTATTTTTTCAATGGAACAATTTAAGAAAATATGCAAGAGATTATCAAATATATAATTTTTAATGTTCAAACAAATAACTAGAGTTTTTAAATCAAGAACAAAGGAATATCAAGAGAAAAATCTCTATTTCTTGAAAAACTAGGTTTTGACATCAAGAACATGAATTTTATGGTTATCAAACCATAACTTCACTCAAATCATGGTAAGGTTGCAAGATCATCAAGAAACAAGGATTCCATAACATATATCTAAGATTGAGAGTCAAAACATACATATATATAAACCCTAGCCTTAATGGATAAGAGTGAGAAGAAACCCCTACTTTTCATTCGTAAAGTTGTGTGAAAAACTTGAAGATTTGATCCACTTCAATATGAACATACTCCTTGATTTTGTGTTTTTCCCCCTATTTCTTCCTCTCTAAGACTCACTAGGGTTAGGAATTGTGAAATAAGGTAAAGAGAGGTGTCCTTAAGTATCTATAGGGTGAGAAACATACCACTAATCGCTAATCTGATACTCAGGATTTTGACCTTATGTTCGAATGTCATTTGGCGTTCAAACATTAGTAGTGCAAATTATTGATTCACGTTCGAATGTCATTATGGCTTTCGAATGTTAGTTGGTCCCAGTACTTTTACTTTTTTCATCAGAGCTCTACAAGCGCCAAAGTACCGGGACTCACTGTCGTTCGAACGTAGATTCACATTCGAACGGACTCTCAATTTTTGTTGAAACTTTCAGTGAATTTTTGAGGTATTTAGAGGTCGATTTAAAACAATTTTGTGAAATACCCTTTTGTAGCCCTGGAAGTCTAGCGTCTACTATAAAAATTTTAGATCAAATGAACTTTAGGGTAAAAAGTTATGGTCTAAATACTAAGGGAGTGTCAAAATTCTTTCTACCCAAGTTCTATCAAAAATGTGTTTTAACTCCGGAACACTTCCTAACTTCTACCTTTACAAACTATATAGTTCATACTTCCCTCACTACATATATGAGCATTCCAAAATCATTATGTTATTATATAAAGACAAGAATGTTGGGGTTTACAATCCACCCCCTTAAAAAAGTTTCGTCCTCGAAACTTACCTTAAGTAGAGAACAAATTAAGGTATTTCTCTCGCATCTCCAGCTATGGTTCCTAGGTAGCTTCCTCCACCACATGATATTGCTACAAGACTTTCACCAGTTGGATTACTTTATTGCGAAGTACCTTCTCCTTGGTATCGAGAATCTCTATCGGTTGTTTTTCATATGTTGTTCCATCTTGAATTTCAATTCCCTCCAAATCCACGACATGTGTTGTATCCGATTGACACTTTCTTAACATTGACATATGGAACACGTCATGTACCCCAGACAACTAGGCTGGTAACCAAAGTTAATACGCTACTTTGCCCATAGCTTTGATCACTTCAAATGGTCCGGTGTACCTTGGGGCTAACTTCCCTTCTTGCCAAATCTAAACACTCCTTTCTTGGGTGACACCTTGATAAACACATAGTCCCCCTCTTGGAATTTCAATGGTCTTCTTCTTATATCTGCATAGCTTTTCTATCTACTTTGAGCTATGCGTAATCTTTCCCTAATTAGTTGAATTTTCTTAGTAGCCTCCCAAACAATTTTTGGCCTAAATAGACTACTCTCTCCAGCTTCTAACCAACAAGTCGGGGACCTACATGGTCTCCCAAACAATGCCTCATAAAGTGTCATGTCAATGCTAGATTGAAAACTATTGTTATATGCAAATTTCACCAACGGTAAATGATCATTGTAATTTCCTTTGAAGTCCAACCCATAAGCTCGTAACATGTCCTCCAAAATTTGTATCACCCTCTTGGATTAGCCATTTGTTTGAGGATGAAAGGCGGTGCTAAAGTGCAACTCTGTCCCCATAGCTCGTTGTAGACTTTGCCAAAATTGTACCACAAAACGAGAATCACAATCTGACACAATAGAGAGTGGAACTCCATGTAATCTAACAATCTCACGAATATAAAGCTTGTTAAAGNACCAAAATTGCACCACAAAACGAGAATCACGATCCGACACAATAGAGAGTGGAACTCCATGTAATCTAANGCCAAAATTGTACCACAAAACGAGAATCACAATCTGACACAATAGAGAGTGGAACTCCATGTAATCTAACAATCTCACGAATATAAAGCTTGTTAAAGGTCTCTAAAGTGTCAGTGGTTTTCATACTCAAGAAATGAGCGGACTTGGTTAGTCTATCTATAATAACCCATACGACATTATGCCCTCGTGACGTCCGTGGAAAACCAGACACGAAATCCATGGTGATGCGATCCCACTTCCACTCTGGGATAGGTAAGGACTGTAGTAATCCTCTAGGTTTTTGATGCTCCACCTTCACCTGCTAACCCACCACGCACTTTGCAATGTACTTAGTCATGTCTTGTTTCATCATTTTCCACCAATATTGACGCTTCATGTCTGTATACATCTTAGTACTACCTGGATGTATGGAGAATTTTGAACGATAGCACTCACCCAACATTTCTTCCCTTACTTGGTCATTGTTTGGTACACATAGTCTTTTATGAAACTGTAACTCATCATTATGTACTGACCAGTTCTCAATCATCTCATTCTTCTCCAATCTACCCCGAATAGTGCTCAACTTTGTATCTAATCTTTGTAACTTCGCAATCTTTTGTCAGAGAATTGGTTGAGCCACAAGATTAAAAAAGCATGTCGGTCCTCTTGTGTATCCACTAATAGATTAAATTCCTCCAAAACATCCATCATCTTCCACCTATTAATAGCAAGAACATTGATTTCATCCCGAGACTTTCTGTTAAATGCATTTGCTACTACATTAGTCTTCCCTAGATGGTAGTTGAGTGTGAAATCGTAATCTTTTAGATATTCAATCCACCTTTTTTGCCGAAGATTCAAGTCTTTCTGTGTGAATATATACTTGAGGCTCTCTTGATCAGAAAATACTTGAAACTTTTCTCTATATAGCTAACACCTCTACAACTTAAGAGCAAAAATCACAGCAACAAGCTCCATGTCGTGAGTGAGATAGTTCTGCTCATAAATCTTTAGTTGTCTCGAGTCATAAGTAACTACCTTACCTCCCTACATTAGCACACATCCCAAGCCTCATAATGAAGCATCTGTGTAAACATTGTATCCTTCCCCACTACTCAGAATAATAAGAATAGGAGTTGTTGTCAACCTTTCCTTCAAGGTGCGAAAGACTAGTTCACACTCTTGAGTCCACATGAATCTTTCCCCCTTCGTTATAAGGTGAGTCATTGGCATCGTTAGTTTTGAGAAACCTTCCACAAACCTCCAATAGTAGTCTACTAAGCCTAGGAAACTACATACTTCGGTCACATTCTTTGGTGGTTCCCACTGCATTACTGCTTCAATCTTTGTGGGGTCAATAGCTACACC